ACGCCGTCGGCCTGGAAGTCTGCGCCACCGCCGTCTACCCCACCACCACCGTGTACGCAGGCCCGCACAAGATCTCGCTCGACCGCCCGTACCTGCGCGTCGATCGCCTCATGCTCAAGAGCCGCCTGCTTGCGCGCTGCGTCGAGGGCGGCGTCAGGCTGTGCCGCGCTATCGTGCGCGACGTTGCCCACGTATCGGAGAGCGAGTCCCAGGTCCACTTTGGCCCGGCCCCGGCGGACACCGTCCTGCCCACGTTTGACGAGTTTGAGGACGTCGCGGAGGAGCTCGTGGTGCGTGCGAAGACCGTGGTGGACTGCACGGGCCACGCGCTGCGCTTTACTAAGACGGAGCCGGAGAACCGCTTCCGCGCGCCGTGGGCGCAGGCGGCGTACGGGATCGAGGCAGAGGTGGAGAGCTATCCGTATGAGCAGGATGAGATGCTGCTGATGGACTTTAGAGACGAGCACATGCAGGCAGAGGAGAGGTGGAAGAGGGAGAGCAATGAGCGGCCGACGTTTCTGTACGTGTTTCCCACGGGGGAGAAGCAGGCGTTCTTCGAGGAGACGTCTGTGATCGCGCCGACGGCGGTGTCGTTCGAGGAGCTGAAGGAGCGCCTGTACCGCAGGCTGGAACATGACGGGGTGAAGGTGAAACGGGTGATCGAGGAGGAGCGGTCGCTGATCCCGATGGGCGGGTCGCTGCCGAGCCGGGCGCAGCGGGTGGTGGGGTTTGGCGGGGCGGCGTGTCTAGTGCACCCTGCGACGGGGTACATGGTGGCGCGGACGGTGTCGATGGCGGACACTGTGGCGCGGACGATCGCGGAGGGGCTGGGCGAGAGCGGCGGCGGGGGGTTCCGGGCCATGGCCGTGTCCGAGGCGGTGTGGAAGGTGACGTGGAGCCTGGAGCTGAGACGGCAGCGCGACTTTCTCGGGTTCGGGGCCGAGCTACTGGGCGTGCTGGACATGTACGAGTCGCGACGGTTTTTCGAGGCGTTCTTCGCGTTGCCCCGCGGGCTGTGGAGCAAGTTTTTGGGGTTCGGGCTGGGCACGCCGCTCGACCGGACGTACTTTGCGCTGTACTTTTTCGCGATCGCGGACGGGCGGATCCGGTGGAGCCTGCTGAAAGGGATTGTGGAGATCGGGCGGTGGGGCCTCATCCGGAGCGTGCTGCCGCTGTGGATGTCGGCGTTGGACGAGAGCTAGTGTCTATCGGACCATTGTCCTCATATGAGGACATTATTCGACCTATTTTATTCTTGACTTCCGCTTCCTTGACAAGACAGAAAAAGATACGCGTGCCACCGTGGTTGACTTCTGACTTGGGGCCAGAAAGACCTTTGTGAGAATTGCTTGTTCTTCCTGGTTGTTTTTAGATACCTTCGAAACCAAAAACGGCAGTTTAAAAAGGCAACTTGGTAGTCAATCTGCAGTATATTGTTAAGGTTTCTGCGTATTCAAAGCTGCTATCGTGGTGTTCTGCAAGAAGCTATTGCCGAAAACAAGCACGTTAAGGAAATAGTGCTCAAGGTAGCAAAAAAAAGAGCTGTCCTCATATGAGGGCAAGCGCCGGTCGGATAGACACGACACGAGGCAAGCCTCGGGGCTCATATCTGCACTCGGAGCGTGTCTGCACTCGTAGGCAGGAGACAAGCCCTACTTGTCCGCTTGTGTACGAGAGGCGTACAAGTATTGTAGTGTTCGAAGAAGGAATGAGCTTGTGCAAGCGGATGCAAGCAAGCATCGCGTCTTGCGGCCAGATTAGAAACGTCACACACGTGTACGGTCACACTAAATTATTCCGGGGGTTTGAGAGAGCACGTGTACAACGTGTAACGAGCATTCTTGTACAGCACAGTCAGTATGGGGTGGCGGAGGATCTGGATGGGGTGCGCGGGAGGTGTAGCGAGGTTTTGCAGCCGGCTACGCTGCGTCATACCGCAAGCCATCGCGTACAAGTACATTCCGCACGGCAGAGCCACGACACTGTACCCCGCCACCACCGCGCCATCGCGTGCCATCGGTCGCCGCCATTTCACTCCCCCGCCGCCGCGGCGCACCGCACGTTTTCCCCTCAACCGTCACCCGCCCTCCACCGACATTTGCATCTCCTGCGTTTACCATTCCCCGCCTACAACTCCACCCTCTACCTCCTGCCCCCCCTCCCGCCCACACCACTGATGCAAAATCCCTGATCGGCTGACGTCTAATTAGGAATAGA